ACGACGACGACGAGAACGACTAGTACTGGTACTACTAGTACTACTAGTACTACTAGTACTACTAGTACTACTAGTACTACTAGTACTACTAGTACTACTACTACTACTACTACTACTACCACCGCTGCTACTGCTGCTACGACCTCGGTCGTGGTCGTAGTGGTAGTGGTAGGTGGTGGTGGTCGTGGTGGTGGTGGTGGTGGTGGTGGTGGGGGCGGTGGCGGTGGCGGTGGCGGTGGAGGCGACAGCAGCGGTGGCGGGTTGTGGTGGTAGTTGTAGTAGCAGCAGGAATAGTAGCGGCTGTAGTATAGTGGAAAGGGTAACTCGCGCGTGCCAACTGAAGCCAAGCTCTAAAGACTTAAAGACGCACTCCGACTGTGAGGCTGGCAGTACTGGACATGACGTCGGTGAGCAAGCCGTTCATATCCTGAGATGGAGAGAGACTTTTCCATGTCGTTATTCCAATCACCGCACTAATGAAGCTCTGGCTATTGATTTGTGCCAACTCGAACGGGCTGAGCAGGCGGCTGATTTCGTGCTCGCAAAACAATATCGCATGGGCCTTGGACCGTGGTGCACGATTAGCATGGAACTTGGCCCCGAGCCCCAGAACCCTAAGCTCAGGTGCGGTAGCTGAGTTCCTCACACCGAAGTGTTCCGGTACCGCGTATAGATGGCAAAGATCACGTAGTAGAGCGGCAGCGCCCTGGGGTGATCGGAAGCAGCGAGCAAATAGCAATCAACAAGAAGAGCTTAGCAGTTTAGCTTGCATGAGTTTTTTCGATGTCAGTAGCATGTATCTGACTGTGCCTGAGTTACTCATCTTCAGAATTGTTTGCAAAAAAATCCCTTCGAAGCCAACAGTATTCGGGCTTTGTTGCGGCCCGCGCCTCTCGACTCAAGCTCGGCTGACAGGCAGGGACAGACATCTAATTACGGAAAGTCCGCAACATCAAGACGTTCACCAGGTGTCTCAAGAGAGCCCCAGACGCTGGATTCGATGCTCAAGTCAGCTGGGCATGCAAAGCCCAGTTCCGTGTACTTCCGCTTGCCGAATCGCGCTCCCACCACAGCGCCATGCATATTTTGAATGCGAAGCGCGCTCTCGCTTCCCAAAATTGTGCTCTCGCAAAGGTCCCGCACGTATCTTGGAGAGCTATGGAGTGCTCATCATCTACCGCAGTGTTCCACAGCGGCAATCGTGCTCCCGCCACAGCAAGGTGCGCATTTTGGATTCATGGTGGTCTTGGTAGCCTCAGGGGTGCCCCAAGATAGTTGTTGGATACGCCTTATTAGACTGGGAATGCCACGAAGCGCTCTTTCACTGTTTGGGATCTGAGTTGCATAATTTGCGCAGCATCCATGTGGTGATCGCCACACTGATGCACACAAGTGTCCAGGCTCCCCACATCACGGAAATGAGCATGGGGACCATGGTGTGAACCTCTTTGCAGCTCTCCCTGCCCTTTATGCATATGATGCTACCTGTACACATCTATGGTATTTAGACGGTCTCGGTGGCCAAGCTTGAAAGGTAAAGTTCCAGCTGACAAATGCACACGACCGGGGCATCCACGTACAGCAGAGGAGTGATGGTAGCAAGGATGGTCGTGACCGTCTGCAGCGTCTTCGCATAGAGGGACAAATCGACGCTGGCCCTCGGAGAGTCGAAAACACAGCTCAGATGATATACCTGACCTGCAGATGCATCTCAGTGAGCTGATGGCAGGCAGCTTTGCGCTTGATTCTAGATTCTAGAGAAGTGCTTGTCAGAGTCAAGCACAAGCGCTGTGAAACTCTTCCAGGCACCTTAACCGTCGCGCCCCGTACCAACAACCTCCACTGGACCTCCACATGAAGTAGCCACTGCTGGTGGGCCGAGGCGCAGGTCACCAACCAGGCGGCTCATGATGCGACCCACAGGCTGCTTGTCAAAGAAGCGGTCGATGGGTGCTCGAAGGAGCCTCCAGCACCAAAACTGCTCTGTGCATGATGCTGGTTCGATAGCAGGAATGTGAAAGTCCACAGCCCTCCAAATTGAGTCCTTTTTGCCTCCCGCCTGGCTCGGACGAACCTACGATGCAGGATATGAGTCGCTTGGGTCCCTGGCTTGTGGATCACTCTGTTGTGGATTGCGGCGGACAGGCGCATGGTGAACGTCCTGATCGAAGGCTGTGCGTGGCTTTCCTTACCTCATCTGTTGGCCTCGTCGCAGAAATGATTGCGAATTGCAAGTCACTCCTTGGAAGTTACACTCTTCCGAGATCCGGACTGGCCCTGGTGCCATCCGAACACGAAGAACACCAGCGAAAGCAGCAGCCAAAACCTTGGGAAGACGCAAGAAAATCTCGCAGGGCGCCGGTGAATGCATTACTGCAGTCCGCCAGCCATGGCCTCTTGCACGATTATAGCACGAGACACCCCACCCGCATCACTGATTCACCGCAATCGCAAACTGTGAGTCCAACTTTCCATTACAGAATTAAACGCTGTGGGTCCCAGCATGTAGGCCGTCAGGTACGGGCGCGAGCTGGCCTCACACTTGCTCGAGAGAGCCGCACGCGCACGCACATGCACAGAGACAGAAGAGCCAGCTCAGCTTCCAGCTGCAGGATTGAGGGCCAGCTCGTTCGACCAATGTGCTATAACCTCTTGAACAGGAGATACACAGCTTCATGACTCGAACGATGTCGCCGCTGCATCACGTAATCCTGTTTACATTGGAGTTCTCGGAACACAGCTCCGATAGCTTCAAGGAAGAAGCGTGTGCTTTCGTGCAAGCCGCGCAAGATTCCTACATCAGCGAAAAGTATGCCTTCCGACTCAAAACTTGAGATTGCAAACATCTTCTGGGGACTAACGACAACAAGCAAAGTTATGACTCAGCCGAGGCCCCCGGCTAAGTCGCAAAGGAGGAAGACATAGACCATTACGGCCAGCAAAAGGCATGCCTCATGCAGGCAGGCACGCTATGGGCCGCGCAGCTTCACTAGATTTGCAGAACGGGCACTTCTGATAATGGGCAGCCACGAGAGACAACGCTTCACATGCTGGAGGTCCGCCACAAGCCAACTGCGCCGGCTTCTTTTTGAGGATCAGACGGAAAACAAGTGGCGGTATCGGCCAATCTGCGCGTAGTCTTTCACCAGCGCGATCTCGGAAAACGTGGCCAGGTCATGGATTCTCCGAGTGCGTTGCGGGGCAAGGGACGCAGCAGGTGTCGTCCAAGCCCATAAGAACTGGCTTCGAGCCCCTGGGAACCCCACCGAGGGCCGCCCCTCGAATTCTTCTTCGCGCAGAGATTCTGCCCTAGGCCGTCACAGGCTGCAGCTCCGCAAAGCGATTCTGCGGACACATACACCATCTCACACACCGTATCCGCATACTTGCTCAGCATACACATGCCTACTTTCAGAGTCTCCCCTCTCTTTTCAAGGACCGTGCTGCTCGCGGCTTTTTGAAGCTTTTCGCTTCACTTTTGGCCTCAGCTCGACACTACATGTGTCGGTCTCTGCACTCCGCCTCTTGCCTTGGGGACTCGAGGTCCCGTGCAAAAGACCTGACCCCAAAACCCTGTCGCTGCTTACAGAAAACACGGAAATCCAGCCCTTCCCAAACAATTATTGGACAGTTCGGCGAAGCTGTAAACATGTCTGGAGCCGATGCGGTGTCTTAACTCCACGTGAAGAGCCTGCGCACAGCTCGAAAAGGCAGGCGGGCAACCACGGCCCGGAGGAGCCAAGCAGGGGCAAAAGGGGCCGTCCAAAGCCCATCTTCCTTTCTTATAGTCAACGCCGTCGGCATGTTTGGACCCAGGCTCTGCGTGCTCCTGCGCTGTGAAGGACTCGCCCTCACGGCTGCTAAGCAGCATCTGGAAGGCCTGCCGTAGTAGCCCGTGGGAAGATCTTGTCTGGAGGACGAGCTGATGGTTGTCGATTATCGTTTCTGTAAGCAAGGAAGCGATGACTGTTTGCAGTTTGAAGGCTCATCAGACCCACTCACCTTGTAAATTGTAAGTCTGTACCTTCTGTACCTGTAGATTCCCGATGGACCGATCAGTTGAACTTGAAAATTGGAGGAATTCCGGCTGATGGGGGCGGGGGTGCAATCCCACTATTATTTTTGCCATGTTTTGGTTGTTGGGACTCACTTTGACCGGGTGAGAGAGTGGCGGAATTGAGCTGTTGCTTCGACGACTCAAAGTTCTCACGCTCCATTCTGAAGGCAGCAGCTCCAGCAAGCAGTTCGGGCCAAGACTTGGTCTGGGTCCAATCATGATCTCAGGAGCTTGCAATAGTGGCAGCTTCATACAAAACCGCGGAAGCCAAAGCATTTTGGATTCCCTTGCAGTTCCGCGTGGTGCGAAAATTAGGTCAGCGAGGGCTAAGAGCTCTCCTCTGCCCCCGAACAGCCATCGCTGGGGACATGTTTTGGATGGCGAAATCCGAGGCTACGACGCTTCCGCGACAACACCTATATAGCTACCGAAGGATACTGTCCGTCACATAGAAGCTGAAACTCTGTTTGAGTCTACTTCGCAGGGTGGGGCCTCGCTGGCGATGACCTCGAGGCATGTCCAGTCATAGGCACAGACCAAGGAAAGGTCGGGCCCGAGAGCCAGGCTGTTTCGGGATCTCCTTGGAGTACGACCTGCAAATGCTTCAGGCTGTAGGTCTCTGTGGGGCATGCTTCGACCTCTTTCGGCGGCTTCGCGGGATGACGGCATCGGGACAACCGCCCTATGCTTGTGTGTTGGACATCGATGAGTGTCTGCTTTCCAAGCCGGCCTTCCCTTCGGCCATCAGCACCTGACTCAACCAGCAAACCATCACACCACTTTGTGGCTCGATTTAGTACTCTGTTAGCAGGACATGAAAAGGTGCAACGGACCATAGTGAAGCTGTAGCGGCAGCAACGGTGGATTCAAGATTCTAGAACGCTTGCGCTCGCAAGGACATGCATGTTGGCCAAGGCCTCTGTATAGCTGCATTTCAAACTCCTCATGAACTGCTGAAATCGCTCCGAATAATCGAAAACTAACAAGCCTTTCCGTGCCACACGTCGACATATCTCGAGCATAGGCGCAAAATGAGAGCGTCAAGGCAGAATATGCTGGAGGAGCTGGGGGACCCCTTTCAGGGACTGTCAACCGCAGAGGAATCCACTCAGGTCGCGGCTACACTGTGAAACTTGCTAAGACGCTCGACATCGGGCTGCGTGGCCTCAGCTGGAGCAATTTCCAGCAGAGTTCGCAAGACTTTGCCGGACTCTTCTGCTCAATTGATGGCGCTCGGTATACACATGCACAAAGACACAAGGCAGTGTGCAAGGAATGAAGCAGATTCCCGACTTGCAACACCCGGCTCAGGCAGTTTCATCGCCAAACGGACGTGGATAAAACAATAGACGGCGAAAGTGCAAGAAATCAACCACACGTCTCAATACTTCCTCTTGGGCCACGAGCCACGACGCAAGTTCTACCTGGCAGTCTGAAAAGAGATGCGCAGAAGGCTCAAACAATCAATGTCTTTGTTGGAAACTTGGTTAAGAAGTCGCTCATGTCCGAGCCCAACTCCAGAATATTCATCCAAACTCCCAGCCGAACACTGAAACTCTTGGCACCAAAACACGCCACAAACAAGCGACGACCTGCCTTCCATGAGCCTTCCAAGCAGAAGCTTCTCCATGATAACTTTGGCAGTTGGCCTCGTTGGGAGAAGTGTCGGTTCGGGCCACTGCCCGCACCATTCAAGATAACTTTCGTTGTGAGTGGCAGGTCAGTGAGAAAGGTATGTGTGAGTTTGATAGGAGAGTTTTCGGGGTGGTGAGTTTCTTGTGGGAAACAACTGTGAATTGTCTGAGAGCTGTGGATTCCCTCAAAGCAGATTGAGAGCGGCTCACAGGCCCCGCTCGCAGCAATCTCACGATCCCCTTTCAGAGACCCGAACCCCTCCCCTCCCCCCCCCCCCCCCGGCGTTGTGCTGTTTTATTTATTTTTTTAAAATGAGATTTCTGCGAGCGGGCCTTCTTCGTGAGGGGGGGGGAGGGGCGCTCTCACAACTCGGGGCCCACCGCTCACAGAAAACTCGCACAGGAATCTCAAAAACATTGCAGTACAAACATCCCAGAGCTTGCAAGGCA